TCAGCCAGCCAGCGGCCAATTTCATAGAGTAAAACAGGCCCAAAAATCGTCAAAAAACGATCGGACGTACAAGGTAGTGACCGGGGCCCCGCGCAACCTTGTCGTTGGACGAGTACACCACGACTCGTGGCTGATTTCGTCCTGCATTTCTCAGCCGCTGAGATCAGCGTTGATTGATACCCCTGATGCCGGATCGACACGGATCACGATAACTCTTGCGTCTTCCGCTCTCCGCAACGCACCTTTGGCAGGCGTAGGACTAGTCGAAACCTTCTGTATTCTGACTCAAACCGCACCCCGAGACGGACTTGGAGGGATCGACATCTGCATCAAGCATCCCCACGTTTCCTAGGATTGTGTCCTTCAGCTACGGCTTCGCATCCTCGGTGGCTTGCGTCAACTCGTTGTCGCTACAACTAGGAGGACCTTATTCTTTTCATCATTCCTCCCGAGTTTGAAGGATGGACGCTACTCTCCTAGAGCAACAGTGGGTTAGTTGTTTTTATCATGTCGAACCTCACGCTTCGAACTAGCCTGCAGGCCCTGCTACATTGACTGCCATACGTGCGTCCCAAGTACGCGATGTAAGCACTGAATTCATTATCCAGCCACTTTCTTGCTTCCTAATAGTAACGAGTTAGCAGTGCAAGATCGACACTCGCGCCTCTCTGGTTCATCCTCACCTGACTACCCTTCCTTTGGCCCCTTGCACGGCGTCCGCTTCTCCTGAACCACCGCCGCTGACGCTGCATCCGTATCTTCCTCCCCATCCCAAACATGTAACGCTTGCTGAGACGTGTACCCTGGTACAGTGGCGCTCGTCCTTGCCCTCCCCGCGGTCTGCCCCCTTCCACAACGACGCGTTCCTTCGACGCCGACACCGAGATCCTCCTGCTCCAATCCCCATCGTCATCGTGCATTGCATCCTTTCGACATCACTCACCTCCCATCCCCATCCCCATTCGTCGTGGGTGTGTGGGTGCAGCGTATGAGGAGCAGCACAACAGGAGTGGCAGGGGCGGAGGAGGCGTACGAATCGCATCGTACTCGGCGGGTACTGGCACGGGTGCGGGCATGCGCCTGCGTCCGCCCGGGTTGGATGGGGTCCGGTGCGGGTGGTGGGTGCAGGAGAGAAAATCCCTTGCGGCACGTGGAACAGTGGCTCGGGAGGCTCGTACGTTCCTCACTCGGATGGCTTGCTCGACTCGGCTTGGACTAATGGATCTACTACAGGATCCACACGCTGCGGCTCCCCGCTTCTCTGTTACTTCAGCTACAGTACACCGCCCTCCCTCCTCACGCCTCGCTGCATTTTTTCAGTTACTCCGACGTCCTGCCTGGCCTCCCCTTCGTCCTCTGCGCCACCCTCTCATCGGCTGCACCACATCGATCATTGCACATCCTCTCTCTCGTAGTCGTGCTCTCTTGACACCGAGAGCGTCGTCCCCGCTGCTCCCATTCCGGCGGCGCTAATATCAATCGATCTCCGCCTCCCGAGTCCCCCGCGCGCGGTCCCGCGACAAGAAGCCCTTCGCATCTCCGGCAGCCGCAGCAGCATCCTTTCCGCGGGGCACAGCACCGAGCGCGGGAGGAGAAGGAGCGGGTAGAGAATCGCTCGCCGTGGCCCTGGATGTAGCGGGCCGCACCCGCCTCTTCTCGTGGGCGTACATAGGTGCGGGGAGGATCATCTGCACGCGTCCGGGGCGGGGAGTGGGATTGGCCTGCATCGCGCGCGGAGGTGATGGTGGGAGTGGGAGGCTGCCTCGTCCGGTGCGCGGCATGTCGCAGACCGGCGCGAGGATGGGTACGGCAGAGAGTGGACAGCGGAGAGCGGAGAGCGGAGAGCGGAGAGTGTTCCCCACATCGGGCGTTCGGAGGCGTGCGCGCCGCGGGGCAGAGACGCCGTGTGGAGGGCACCAGCGCGCGACATAGACAGACGTCTGTGTCTCGTCTCAGGGCGGCGTCCCCGTTCGCGTCGTGTCTGTGCTCGAGAGGAAAAGCGGAGAGCGCGGGAAGACGAGACGATGACTCGGAGGGGGTGTATAGCCTGAACGCGGACGGGCAATGACGCGGTCATAACGCATATACGGGCTGCGCCGCCGGAGGTGGTGGTGGTGTTGGTAGAAGAGGAGGCAGGAGCAGGAGAGGAGGATGTGGAAACGCGCACACCTCTACATCTTCGGGGCGCGAGTCCGGCCTGGTCTGTTCCTCGCCCGCACCCTCGCCCGCTGCCCCTCCCGTCCATCCTTCCATCGTCTCGCTGCCCGCTACCGGACATGCTCTTCGGCTTCTTTGCATGCAGCTCGAGCGCGCCATGCGCCATGCGCCAAGCGACACGGACCTCGCACGACGCTCGCTAACGCGGAATCGACCGCGCGTATACGGCGCAGCATGGAGAAGAGGGAAGCGGAGCGGGAGCGGGAGCGGGAGGAGAAGAGGGAGAGCGGCACATGTGTCGCTAGATGCGCCTCCACCCGTTCACCGCATCGGCCGCGTCGAGGAGGAGAGGGAGGAGGGGCCGAGATGGTGGATGGAGATGGGGGATGAGGAAAGCGCACATGATGTGCGTCGCCCGGCTGCTCCTCACACCCCACCCGTCGCCTGCGCGGAGAGGGAAAGGCATCGGTGGGGTGGAAGAAGTGTGGGGAGCCAGAGGTGCTCGGGATGGGGAGGCGCCGCGTCCGCGTCAGGAACGAGCTCAGGCACCGGTGTAACTTCCTCTCTTCGTCTCCTCATCCTTGCATCCGACGCAGCTCTGCGCCCTCTTCGCGTCGATTACTCATCGCGGTCGGCGAGAGCATCCATCCCACCATCCACCACCTGCTCCAGCTGCGACTCGTATGGCGCGCGCGCGGCCCCTGCGTCGCCCCGGTGCGGGGGCGAGGATGCAGGGTACGGTCACGGAGACGAGGATGGGGATGGGGATTGGGCTCCGACGTCGGATGCGCGTATGCACTCGATAGGGAGAGAGCCGTACCCTCACGAGCAGTTGCTGCAGACGTTCCTGTGGTCGCTTGCTTGTCCTCATCTTATCGCCTACTTACATTCCTTGTCTGACCCAGATTGAGGCCCTTGCTCTTGTTCCTCCGTTCCTGCACATACCATGTAGCGTTTCAAGTCATATCATACGCATGCGTGTCACATACTTCCTGCATCAGCATTCGAATTCTGACCCGTACTGTCAGTGGACGGATGGGACGGATGAGCGCCATTACATCGTATGTGGCTGTGCGGTGATAAGCGCTCATCTCTCTGCTTTTCTTCCCGCCCCGCATCTCGTCGACGGTCTAGGCACCTCCACAACACTTCGCATGCCGCGCATAGAACACTCGTTCCGATATCTTGTATCTGTTTACCTCGGAAGATTTCAAGATCTTGGAGAGTTTCCTCTTGCTCGGCGTCTGCGCAAGCCATTCTTCGTTGCCTTTTCGCGATCGTGACCGGAACCCATTGAGACCGACGGATTTAAGCGGACGTAAACCTATTTCCAAGATCTGGACGCGAACTAGGTCTGCTGAGTGCGGCGCTTATTCTACACGAAATATCCAAAAAGCAGTCCGGGCGATCGAGGGCACTGCAGCCCTCCATGTTCGATTCTCAGTCTGTTGTGCTCAGCTCGGGCGAGAAGTGTTGTGACCGCGAAACACACAAATACGGTACGTTGGGCTATTTCTGTAACTCGCGAGACGCAGCATCCCTATAGGAGCAGCATGCATTCCACCCTCGGACACTAATGAAACAAGATCCTATAAATACTGGTGATTGAATCCCCCGACCCGATAAGCCTCAGCTTTCCGAAGATCATGAACGATCCGTGATCACAAGAATGTTTCTGCATTTGTGGTGCTTGTTCTCCTCGCTGCAGAGACAATTGTGTACACATCGTTACTGTTTAAAAGGCAGAAAGTGGTGTTTCATTTCCATTTAATCCACTATAAATATCGACTTCTCATCTGTTTGCACACTCCGACGCTGGCCTCGCCTATCCTCTCCAAGCAGCAAAAAGTTGTCGCCGTGCGAACTGCGCCTAGTTTCGATGGTTGCTGCGTGTTGCCCATGGAACTTTGGGATATCATTTTCCGGCACTTCGCCGATGAAGCCCTTTTTCCCGTGGCAGCCGTGCCGTCCATTCAACGAGCGCTCCATCCAACGGCTCCTCCTCACGCATGATGTTCCTTGGACTGGGATAAAGGAAAACGATATCGCTGTCCATCCTCGCCTTCTTCCCGCTCTGCTACACACACTCTTTATTCCGACGGTCAAACCTTGGACTCTCCTGTGTGTTCGACAAGCCGGATTCCACACTTCACCTCTGCATGCTCTCTGGCCGTTTTCCGAGCAGGACTGACACTGACCCAAATTGAACCCAAACGAACTTATGGAGATCTTGGAGTCCGTAGACCCATCTTGGACCATACGAGCGGGGTGACGGGGCACGGTGAAAATAGTGTCCCGAAAATTTTCTAGGTCAGCCACTATGCTGGAGGCCTTCATGCGCTATGTTTTGCCCTTCTTCCCGAAGATCTGGCCGTTTTGTCTCGTTTCCGCGCTTTAAATACACCTATCCGATTCTTACGGAAGTGACTAGTGGACCTAGCACTCGGCAACTAAAACTTTAGCTGGAATATCGTGTGCGCCCGGGTCTACGATGAATTGTCCGGCAGGCGGCCAAATTCATTGGATATCTACTTCTGACATTTTTGTGCATTCAGGTGTGTCTTTTGTTGGTCTTTTGCGAAGTTCAGTGAACGGAATCAATTTTGATCGCTGGTTGCAATTCCATCATTTGCATGCTCAACCTTCCCCGGCCGTTCCCTTGTTCTAGGAAATCGGAAAATATTCCTGGTGCTGCTCAGAGTGGTCCCGAAGGTCTCCCTCCGCCGGCGAAACCCAAAACGGACAAATGATGGAGAAAGCAACTATCTGGTGCCGACCATCACGTTTCGATGATGCTGGCTTCCAGGCAACGAAAAAGGGGCAATGCAGACTGCAAAAAGGAATGGACGAATCCGGAATTGAACCGGACACCTCTCGCAAGCTATGTAGAGCATTCCCGCTATGCTATGCTAAGCGAGCGTGATAACCAACTACACCATACGCCCCGTTGGAAAGTGTCACTCTGTCACAGTCGCGATGGCCTCTGCATGGACCTTTGTATGAACGCTTCGTGCTCGAATCCCTGCCAATTGGTGACAGAAGAGATACCAGATATGTTCATCATTATATTACCCCCCTGGTTGGAGGGTGTCTTCAAGTTAACCCCTGCACAGTTCTTTCCGATACTCACTGCGTTCCCACCCCATGTAGCCGAACCACGTAAACTCACGTAAAATCGGGTCCACGTGGTTCGGCTACATGGGGTGGGAACGCAGTGACTGTAGTATTTCGAAGTGTTCACGGGGTTCTCACCGTCACCTAAGGTGTTCACTGGCTAAAGTGTTCATTTCTCAGCAATCATGGGAAAGTTCCCATATTTAGTAGTCCGGTGAATGCCAGACTAGAAATTTTCGCGTTTTTAGGCCTATTTGGGCCCCAAAATCCCGCTGTCACTGTCACCTATACCAAAAGTGTTCAATTCATGACCCTCTGTCACCTATCACCTGAACACTTGGTCGAAATAGTACAGCATTTGATTCGGCACAGTGAGCCTAAGGTTGGATTATTGAGCATGACTCTCATGTATGTCTCATCTGCGCAGGAGGTGTGCCTGTTGAAACAAGCACCAGATACAAATCAGAATGAGGATGTAGGGCAGTGCCATTACTGACTATGCCTATGAGCATCCATCACCTGTGTTTCATTTTAGCCGTCATTTGTGAGAAGCAGTAAAAACACAATACAAATTAGTCAAAATGGGTGGATGTTGATACATGTGTAAGGTGTCCTCTAAAGGCAATAGCTCTATATGTGTTATAAGCATTTTTACACAGCAATCTCGTCGAAGAGGCACTCTACCATCATGAAAATGGCAGCATACAAGTCATATGACGTTGCCGTGGCATACACTTGGGCCACATTGGGATGCCTGGATCACGAATATCACTTGCCAACGGGTGACAAGTCGTGGACTTACCCACCAAAGCGTGGGATATTGCCTGAGATCCCTCTGCCAAACCTGGATTGACAAGGCAAAACTTTATATCAGGGAATTCCAGGGTAAAAACATACCTCCTCCATGGCCTGCCCTTGGTATAAGGCCACGGTCTTTGTTGAATTTTGCCATCAACACAGGCACTATAGATGTGCCTGGTGTATCCACGTTCCGTACGCTGTCTGCTCACCGTGATTTGGTGAATTTCGCTTTGGAGGTCCAAGTCGCTGATAAGCACGGGATTTGTCCACCCATGAAATCTTTGCTTTTTCGCATTTTCATGACAAAACATGTTCTGGGTTACCCTCCAGAAGTGTCAGTACTGAGGTTCCCAAGTAGCTGGCAGGGCAGGAACCACTGAGTAACAGATGGGAATGGGGTTTTAACACTCTGTAACCATTGGCATGTGCTTGCTCCGAAACACGTAGGAGATGTGTAGCCCACAGAACAAGTGGAACGTGAAGTCTACTCTATTCCCACTCACGGAACTAGATGGGGACAGACCGGAATCCTGTTGAGGTGTGTTGGACATTGAGTGCGTACCATGTTCTGATCAGATGATCACTGGAAGGGGCTGGAAACATTGCATCTTGATGGTTGCACGCCGTCCCGGGCATTCTGGATATGGGATGGTTACTAGGCGAAGGTCCAATCACTTGGACCTATACTTGTTGGCTCTTGGAACAAGTACCCATACTGGGAAGTACTTCGAATGCGGTGAAACGGTGCACTAGGGTGCGGCCGTGAAATCTAATGAAATCAACTAGAGAGTGAAGCGAGCTAGTCACTAATCACAATCCAACCAAAAACAAAACAAAACACTGATCCGATCCTAATGCTCGTGTGTGTGTGTTCGGGGAAGTAGGGTACATATCACCTGTCAAGAGGGTGTGCAAAGGTTTTATAAGACTCTGTTTCAATAGCAAACTATGTGGTTTAAGCATGGTTATGCTGGGGTAGCAGGCACTTCACGCCAACAGGATATCAAGACTCAAGTAAACCTTAGACTGTTCAAGTCTTCAGTTTCTTTGTGAGCAGCAGAACCTAACACTCCTGGCAACTAGCCAAGAAGCAGAAGGTAGGGCAGACTATCAACAGACAGATGCTACTTCAATATCAACTTTAACTGCATGAATGGCGGTGGTATCAACGAAACGAGGGCAGATACACAGAAGGTGGGGGCTGGGCTAATCGTGCGGACGGTTACACTGAAGGCGGCGGTCTCACTTCTATTAACAAGTCTTAACCTGGAGGCCTAAAGCGCTGCTACAGGAGACAAGTTGAATAGGTTGAACGAGGGCTCTTATATCAATGCAGTGGTAGTCTTTTCGACATCCCATATCTTTTAATCTTTTCTGTGCGTCTTCAAATCTGTCTGATATCTTTTCACAAATCTAGAGTCTACTATATTGCCCGTATATCTTGGGTGGTTTACTGGCTAATACAGAGCACACAGCTGGCTTTTATACATTTCAGAGAGAAGTAAAGGAGATAGACGGAATGAATAGGAACATAATGGGTGGGAGCCCGAGTAATGAATGGCCAATGGCGTAGAAGACATTCTCAACCATGGGTATTATGACCTGCTACCGGGGCTAGTCCACATGTATTTCTCTAGCACGCCATAAGACGTGCTTAGTTGTCTTGGTTTCCATCTTTCTGACTGAGCAAGTCAGTCTTTAGTCATTGCTGACTGGTCAAGTCAGTCTTAGTCAATTCCTATTCAACTTCTGTATCAGTCCCGTACTTCACAAGCTCAGTGGAACTCATAGTACATATCAAGCGGATTGACAATATAGCATGGCGCTATACTGGTGGACCAGTATACACCGCCATTTGGTAGGAATGTTTTTAAAACGTTTTGCCGCCAGATGCCCAACAGATGCTGTCACAAACATTGCTCAAACACCAAAGTGTCAAATCCCTGAGCCTTTTCTAACATCACATTTACCAACATTTTCTGCAACGTTTTTCGAATGTTTTCTCAGCATTTTATAGAGGACAAAAATATTAATTTATTTCAAAAGATGTATCCATTCCACAGTATCTAGTACATTACATACGGTACATAAAAAAGACAGCCGCGAGCGAAGCCGAAGCCCAACACCAGCCAGGGCACGACCGGGGAAGGTGCCGAAGGTCGTGGGATGCGAGGGCAGAGGCCGTGCTACTGAAATCTATTCAAGCCGTGGCAGCGGCCAGGCAGAGAGCTTGAGTCTTGAAACTTTGAAAATAGGGAATCCGAAGTCTGTTCTTGCTGGAGGAGCACAATGTTGAGGTGATTATTTATGAAATTAAGTGGCTTGAGCCCAGCGAAAGCTTGGCGTTTTGGAAATAGCTTCGCGGAGTGAAATCTTGTGGTACGGTTGAGGGTACTTGAAGATAACAACTTGACAACAGAGGAGGTTGACGGAGCAGTGGAATTGTCAGCAATGTGCTCGGGACGTGTTTGATGATGGATTCTTGACGGAACGATCTGTGGAAGACAGGTGCTCGGTCCGCGCACTGAGTGGGTGGAAGTTGTCGCTGACGGATCTTGCGGGGTGGAACTCGGAGTTGGAGGGAGGACCAAGAGAGAACAACATTTGGTGTGTGGCACCACCAAGATTGATCTTGTTTGGCTTCTGATGCGCACGGACCATCTCGAATGATCTCTTCTAGACCTCGCCCGCATCTGTTGCCGTCGGAGTCTGAAGCAAGATGATATCGCAACAGTGGTTTGTATCAAAGCCAATGGTGCAGGGGAGCTTTCAGATGTAGAGCAGGCACACTAGGAAATACTTTACCGCGGTGTAATTTACATTCTCGCAATGTGTTCACAACATCATGCAGGCGTCGCGTACATGTTCTACCCTGAATGTTGTCAAGACGTCGACAGGATGATGTTCAAATGTCAGGCAAACTATTTGAGATGGTGTGCCGGCAACATTGATGAAACAAAGTGTTCGATTGGCGGTGTAGTGACCAGTGAAATATAGCGTGGCACTATTCTGTAGTGCCAATCCTCATCAATCATATCAGTAAATCCTTGATGCGAGGCCTGCATCTTTCTAACGGTCAGATCTGCCCGAGTAACCACAGTGATGGTTAACTCAGTAACATGTCTTCATCCCAATCTAATCAGTTGGGCTTATACACAAAATGGCACGGCACCATATCTCTGCTGGCCCTAATGTGGTTGTACCAATCCTGACTTCGTATATCTTGTTTTAATAGTCATCAGACCATTCAGAGGCCGTTGAGGCGCCAAGTCAATAATCCTGAGTAGTTCCCTGATGTTTCACCTCCAGCACATAAGATAATGGCTTACCGCCACCATCTATAGCTCAGTGTAGAATATCATAGTCAGGACATAACAGCCTTTTGGGCTGCCTTGTCAAGTCTACTCAATCCTTCATAGTTGATTTGTTACACTGACTTTCGGCCATCAATAGTGTAGCCTACCACCCCAGGGAGGGTGTACGCTCATAATCTAATGCCTCACTTCTGCCCACTAATAGGTTCAAAATGAAATAAAAACTGGTGTTTTCATGCATGTTTTGGTACACAGCCTATCAGCGGTATCCTTGGAGAACTACAGGCTGGGAGCATCTGTTCCAGATGTTCCAGTAGATGGGAAGGTACTGGAATTGGGAGGAATGAACTATCTCGTCAGGATCAACATAGGGGACTGGTTGTGATGGCTCGGGCACAGTCCAACCAATTGTACATGTGCACAGGATCGCACCAGAGTGGTGTGCTCAACATGGGCAGCCAATGGAAGGACTCAGATACCCAATTCGATGATGGATACACAGCAGTCAGACAGATAAACAGAATATTTTACTCATATCTACTTATTTCTCGGACGTTTCCATGTCTTTCAGGTCTTTGTATTTAGTAGCAGGGGTGTCTTGGGTGACCTCACGGAATCACCCCATGGCTAGTAGGTGGAAACACTTGCGAATTGGGCAGATACCGGGCAGTTCAAACAAGGTGTCTCTTAGAATTCATCTTGGCTTGGAATCTTTA